CCGCGCCCGCCGCCCGCCGCGCCCCGGCGCGCTCCGCGCGCAGCGCCGCAGACGCCTCGCGTGCCTCGTCGGCGCGGGCGGCTGCGCCGGCCTCGGCGGCGGCCAAACGCCGCTTCAGCGCGTCGCGCTCGCGCCTGAGGGTGGTCAGCTCACTGAACAACGTGGCGTTGCCGCCACCGCCGCCGCCGCCGCCGCTGCCGCCAACGCCAACGCTGCCTCTGCCGCTACAGGCCTGCCCGCCGTCCGCCTTGACGGCTGCACAAGCGAGCTCGGCCGCCCCTGCAGCAGCCCTGGCGGCCAGCATCAGGCGCCGCCACTCGCCAGCGCTGACAGCCCCTGGATGGTTCCGCGCCGAGCCCGGGCCGCTGCCGCTGCAGCTGCCTTCCCGCACGCGCGGCGCGCTGCGGCTGCGTGGCGGTCTGGGCCCTGTTGGCAGCACTTGCGGCGGTGGCAATGCAAGCGTGGCCACAAGCCGCGCCTCCAGCGCCCTGCAGCGCTCCTGACAGCAGGTAGGGGCGGCGGGCGGCGGCGGGGGTGAGCGGTGACAAGCGGGTTGCGCACGGGCCGCCTGACGGGCGATGCAGCTTCGCCGCACCCAGGCCAAGCACCCTCTCACCTTCAGCTTGGCGTTTTCGCCTGCAAGCGCATCCCTCTCCAACAGGACTGCAGCCGCCGCCGCCTCCTCGAGCGCTAGCGTTGAGGCAGTGCTCTCAGCAGCGCGGTTCGTCACGCTGCGGGCCGCTCTCAAGTCGTGGGGGCCGCTGGGCCCCGGCTTCGGCCGCTGCCGCTGCCCCTGCTGCTGCCCCTGCTCCCGCTGCTGCTCAACTTGCTTCTGCTGCTCCTGCTGCAGCCGCTCGCGATGATGCTCGCCCTCCTGCTGCTGCTGTATCAACATCTGCGCGGCTTCCAGCTGCGCCCGCAATTGCTCATTTTCAGCAGACAGCCTGCAATGGCGGCCGGTCGGCGGATCCTTGCATGCGGCGGTTGCGGGTTCTTGCCCGCAGGGCACCAGGGCAATGCATGCTGTCGCCTTGCAGTCCCAAGAATGTGGCATGCCCAAAACCTGAAACGCTATACTCACTTGTCCTTGGTCTCTTGGAGCTTGCGTTGTTCCGACGCCTGCACTGCCGCCTGCCGTGAAGGCCCACCGCTTCCAGGGCCCGGCCTCCGCTCCGCGGAGGACACGCGCAGCGCGCCGGCCGTTGCGGCCCCGCTGGCAGCCACGGCAAGCGGCGCGGCGCGCCACTGCCCTGACCTCGGCAGCTTTCCATGCATGGGTGCTTCGTGCTCCCAGCTGTTGTCGTCCTGCCGGCCTGGCTGGCTGCCAGTATCTGCGCAAGTTCATGGGGTGTGCATGTGCACTGCTGGGGTTTGGGGCCAGGGCATGTTGTGTATGTTACAATACCAAGTACATGGAGAGGTGACATTGCAGCTGCACGGCCAGGCAGTGTGATCTTACCCCACACCACCAGCAGATCTAGTAGGCACCTGCCGGCTTGTGCCACGCCGCGGCACTCTGCGGGTCGACGCCAAGCCCACGCAGCAGCGCGCGCCCCTCATCGCTGCCGAGGAATGTCGCGCCCTGCAGCAGTGACGCAATGCTGTGGGGCTGCTGCCGTTCGCCGCTGGCGGGGTCGCCGCCCGCCCTCGTGCGCCTTCTCATGCTCGCGGGGCACAGCAGGTTTGACCGTAGAGCGCCTCAGCTCGCGCTGATGCGCTGCTGCATGTTGCCGCCGTGGCACAGGTGGGCAGCAGTTGCAATTCGGATGCCTAGTAACTCTGTATTACATTATCATAATCTCAGTGCGCAGGCTCGAGGCTCGTCTGCGGCCAGTCGCGATGTGTTCAACGTTGAGGGGGTGTTGCATGATCTGCAAGGGTGACTGCTGCTGCTTGAAGAGCTCTGTACAAAGAGCCCCGATATGCGCTCTGATGCTTGCAAGGATGCATGTACTGCAAGGCGCAGTGATTTGTAGCGGGTCACCGCATCGAATTCACTCGGCATCACCAGGCATGGCGCAGGAGCCTTGCAAGATTGCGTGTACATCGTCGTGTACGCCACCTGAGTATAAGCTGCGCCGCGCAGCCCCCTTTGGCCCACCACGCTTGAGGCCAGGGCTCGTCTGCCCCGTGGCACGGCGAGCCAGTGGTGATAGGGTTGCTCATTGGTTCAGCCACGATTGTGACCATCACGGCCGCCGGTGTGCTGCTGACCCGCTTCAGCCGCGCGGGGCCAGCAGTGGCGGCGGGCACGTCGATGGCGCATGTGTGCAGGCTGCACGACTTGAACCAGCAGGGGCGGGAACCGCGAGGGCGCGTGGCAGGCGGCGCTGCCAGCGCACCAGACGTCGGCGGCATGCGGCGCGCGCTCTGGCCGGCGGCCCTGCTCGCGCGCCACCACGCCCGCTTCCTGCCTCGGTCGGCCGCGGCGGCAGCCGTCGCGGCAGCATGCAGCGCATCCTTGTCAGCGCACGGGCCCGCCTGTCCGCAGCAGATATCCTGGCAGGGCGCACTCCTTTGCCAACGCCGGAAGCAGCAGCATGCCCAGCTTTGGGACCCGCTGTGCCGCGGCGGCCGCAGGGGCATCGCAATGGCGGCGACGCCGGAGGTCAGCACAGCTGAAGCCGGGTATCTTCCGCAGCAGGATCAGGAGGAGGCCCCAAATGGGCAGCAGCAGCAGCAACAGCAAGATCAGCAGCAGCAGCCGCAGCAGCAGCAGGTGGCGCAGCAGCAGCAGCCGGCTGCTGGCGCCGGCGGCGACGCGGCCGCAGCCGCGGCCGCGGCGACGCAGCAGGGCAAGGCGGCGGCGCGCAGGGAGCCGCGCTACTCTCCGCTCCACCATAACATCGAGGAGTTTTGCCGCAGGGTGGTGCCCACGCAAGAGGAGCGCGCGGCCAAGCAGCGGATTGTGGAGGCGTGAGTGCTGCTTTCGCGACGGCCGCGCAGCCGCGCGCGCAGTACCCCCTGCGCAGCGAGGGGCGGCATGCCTTCCGCTGCTGCATGCTATGCAATATTAGCTGTACTGCTTAGTGTACTGCAGATGGGTCCAAGCGCGTGGCTTGGCAAAAACAACCAGGCGACCCATGGTTGCACCATGCCCATCCCTGACTGATATACGCGCCGGGCGCGCACCCACGCATCCCCCTTGGACTCTGCAGCGTCAAGGCGTCCACCAGGAAGGGCCTGGAGGGGATGCAGCTGCCAGACGGGGCTCGCGTCAAGGTGCAGCCCTTTGGCAGCTTCGTCAGCGGCCTGTCAACGTGGAACAGGTGCGCGGATCAGATCAGATCGGCTCAGATGAGATGAGATGAGATCTGATCTGGTCTGAAAGACGGTTCTTTGGGCTGCCTTGCAGCAGTGGCTGCACATGCAGCACAGGGCAGCGGCGCATGCGTGTGCAGGGGTGCGCTTGACAGGGGAGGGTGTGAATCAGAGGATGGAAGCATACCAGCAATGATGCTAGCGCTGTCGCAGCATGCCAGTCGTGCGCAGGCAGTGCGGTCTCCGATTGCCCCCTCGCTCCCGCCTACACCCTTTCCCCAATCGGGGTGTGGTTGAACATCTTGCTGGATGAAGCGACGTGGACATTGTCGTCAGCGGCCTGGTGACGCCGTCGCGGTTGACGGGAGGCTTTGGCCAGGCGGACAAGCGGTTTGTCATCAAGATCTTGGACAGGGTGGCGAAGGAGGTGGGCTGGGCACGCACGCTGGCGCAGCGGGCGACGCCGGGCCGGGTGTTGCTGCACGGCGGCTGCGGCCGCGGTCACGGCGGCGGCTTGAAGGCTTGCGGCTGCGGCTGCTGCTGCTGCGGCTGCTGCTGCTGCTGCTGCTGCTGCTGCTGCTGCGGCTGCTGCTGCTGCGGCTGCTGCGGCTGCTGCTGCTGCTGCCGCCGCGAACAGGCACTGTGTCACACGCGGACTCCCACTCACATAACTCGCCCGCTTCCGCACTTGAACCCCTTCACGCCCGCAGCTCCGCCGCAGCCGCCGCGTCGACGTCCGGTCGCTGGTCATAATCCGCACCGCGCGCATCCCGATCATCAAGCTGCAGACGGGGTACCAGTCGGGGTCTGTCGTCGCTGACGTCAGCCTGGGCGATGAGTCGGGGCCGGCGGCGGCGCGGTACGTGACGCAGCAGATCGCGGCTTACCCGCCGCTGGCGCCGCTGGTGCTGGTGCTCAAGGTGGGGAGAGAGGCTGGTGTGTATGTGTGTGTGTGTGTGTGTGTGTGTGTGTGTGTGTGTGTGTGTGTCCTGCTGCGGCTGCTGCGGCTGCTGCGGCTGCTGCGGCTGCTGCGGCTGCTGCGGCTGCTGGAGCGCCAGGTGTGACTTCCAGCACATTTGTTTCGACAGCGGGCCTTCTGTTTGCTGTGCACTCATGCACGCACATCCGCCAGCACGCTGCGCGCTGCTGCTC